GGGGACTGAGAAAAAACGCTGGAGGTAGTGGATAGGACATACATTGAGGAAAGCACCCAACTGCGTCACAAGACAAGCCGTCACATGGAATCCTCAAACGCAAAATAGAAGAGGAAGACCAAAAAACACTTTATGCCGAGAAGTGGAGACAGACACGAGAAGAATGAACAATAATTGAATAGAACTGGAACGGAAGGACCAGGACAGAGTAGGTTGGCGAAAGCTGGTCGGCGGTCTATGCTCCGTTAGGAGTAACAGGAGCAAGCAAATAAGTAACTTTGTCACCATCACAGATAATAATAATAATACAACTACTGAGAAATGTTCGTTTTTGAGCATTCTCCCTAATAAACTATAACATTTCGTTTATTAAAAATAAAATTTCACCCGAAAAAAAGCAACGATGAAATCAATCATTAATCAATCACCTTCTGTTAGGTGGACCACAATGTAACCAATTATCTGCTGGCAAACTTTTTATACATTGAACAAGTTCTTTCCATTTATCTGTCTAAAAAGTAAGTAAGTAAGTATTAATGATAAGGCATAGAAGATTCTGTAAATTGCATACTGTTAGATGTAGTGTGGTGTGTGCTACTTATACGAACGATATAAGTAGTATAAGAAGGGACGTGAAAGAAGAAGTCTCACGGTCAGAAGAGGAAAACGGAAAGCAAATGGAACAAAAGCAAGAAGTAAAGGAAGCAACAACAGGAATGGAAGAAGGATGGAGCGTTGGAAGTCACGACTCAAAAATGGTGTGCAAATAGGGTATTCAATGTAATGTTTTCGTTTTTAGTTGACTCAGAGTGTAAATTTGCATAATACAATCTTCCGCGCCTGCCTCAGTCTTCTCAATTGGTGTCGCTGCCTCTACACAGGATGAAGATCCCATGGCCTCGGGAGTTTGAAGACGGAGATGTAAGGAGCTTCTTGAAGGAGTTCGAAGCCGTGGCGGAGCTGGTTGGAGTCAAGGAGCAGAGGGCGAAGGCGGTGGAGTTGGGGACTCTACTAAGAGGTAGGGCGAGAGCGGTGTACGATGGTGTGGATGAGGCTGACTGGGAGGTGGTGACGGAAAGGCTGCTGGTGGAGTTCGAAAGCCCGGCGGATAGGCAGGACGCACTGCAGAAGTTCCGAGAGGCGAGGCTGACGGTGGATGGCGACCCACTCGTGCTGGCTGTGGAGTTGACAAGATTACTGCGCCGGGGTCTGCCGAATTCGGATGAGGAGTCGCAAGCACAGCTGCTAGCGTCGCAATTCATTGAAACTGTGCCTGCAGAGGTTGCCCAACAGTTGAGATTGGTGAACGCGGCACAACCAATGGACGTCACCAAGCTGGCTAAAGTAACAAGACAGCTGACGAACACAACAGTCGCCTCAGTGGCGTGTGAAAGACAGGCTGATAATGTCACGAAGAAGATAGAAGAATTACAACGCGAGGTGGCAGCGTTACGAATAAAGGGTGGAAGAAATAATAATAAATGCTATATTTGCGGAGGAACCGGGCATTGGAAGAGGAATTGCCCAACAAGACGAAGACGAAAACATTACATTGAATACTCTATTTGCACACCATCTCTGAGTCGTGACTTCCAACGCTCCATCCTTCTTCCATTCCTGTTGTTGCTTCCTTTACTTACTGTTGGTACTACTCCATTTACTTCTTGCTTTCGCTCCATTTGCTTTCCGTTTTCCTCTTCTGACCGTGAGACTTCTTCTTTCACGTCCCTTCTTATACTACTTATATCGTTTGTATAAGTAGCACACACCACAGTAGTATGCAGTCAGTTATTTAGGAAAACAAATAAATCATGGGATGTGGGCACAAAAAGTCAGTGAATCAAGGAAACTGAACTATGGAACACGCTTGATCAATAGAATTGGTTTTGGATTTCGTTAAAATTTATGAATTGATTAGCGTTAGACCACCACTGAAAACTTAGAAGAACAGGATGGCCGTCTCATGCTTGAATGAGACCAATCGGCAGTACGCACCCACACACACGAAAGATCAACATCTAGATCACTAAGCCGGCATCCATCTGTGTTAATCTCTCAAACCAATCAATCCACGGTAATGCGCGACTGTTGGAGAGTCTCAATACTAGGAGGAGAAAGCCATCCAGGTCTAACATTGATCGATTTACGATTTTAGTGAAGCTCAACCATCTATTTTAACAATCCTATAGAGATGATCTTAGATTATGTTAGCCGATTTTCCCGATCAATAATTTTAACACTTAGAATATTCGATTGAAAGTACGTGATCGATTGAATCGGTAATTACCGATTTTAAATCATAGGTTAATTATGAGGTAGAAATATTTCTTGTAATGACTTTAATTTATGCTGTTGCTCCCCCAAAAAGATCACACAAAAAGATCGTCAACAAATCCTTCTCTTGGGGATGTCAGATCCTTAGAAACGACTTAGTAAACTTCGTATCTTTCGTAATTTAATTGTGGAAATTGAAATTTTTCCCATCCTCGTTTTCCTCCCTTACTTACTCCTGTTACCCCCAACGGAGCATAGGCAGCCCACCAGTTTTCTCCAACCAACTCTGTCCTGAGCTTCCCGCTCCAGTTCTGTCCAATTTTGGTTCATTCTTCTCTTATCTTTCTCTATTTCTCGGCGTAACGTGTTCCTTGGTCTTCCTCTTTTTCTTTTGCCTTGAGGGTTCTAGGTGAGGGCTTGTCTCATGACGCAGTTCGGTGCTTTTCTCAGTGTGTGTTCTATCCACTTCCACCACTTCTTCCTGATTTCCTCCTCCACTGGAATCTGGTTTGTTCTCTCCCATAGTACGTTGTTGCTGATGGTGTCTGGCCAACGAATCCGAAGTATTTTGCGTAGACAACTTCTGGATGATGGATTTCGTAGTTCTCCATGTTTCCGCTCCATACAGTAGAACTGTCTTCATATTTGTATTGAAAATCCTGATTTTGGTTGAAAGTTGTTTGGAGTTCCAGATATTTTTCAATTGTAGAAATGCAGTCCTTGCTTTGCCGATCCTTGCCCTAACATCTGCATCGGATCCACCTTTCTCGTCGATGATGCTGTCCAGATATGTAAAGGTGTTAACGTCCTCCAAGGCATCTCCATCAAGAGTGATTTGGTTGGTGCATGTTGTTTTGCATCGGAGAATTTCGCTTTTTCCTTTATGTATGTTGAGACCTACTGCTGCAGAGGCTGCTGCTACACTGGTCGTTTGCGCTTGCTTTTCCCCTCTTAGCATGTCATCGTTCCCTTCGGTTGTTTGAAACTCTATTTTGTGACATTTACAAGGACATATTCGTATTGTAGTTACAGTGTACATGAGTTGAGTGATTTTCGTTTGTTCATCTTGGCTGCTTACGGATTATACATATTTCCTGCTTACTATGAACGTTTTCTTAATCCATTTAGCTTAGCTGGAACACAAGCGAATAGCTTAACTTACTCCTGTTATTGTGTCGCTGATGATGATAGGTTGCATTGGCCATTATTGTGTTAACTTAAATAACACGAACGTAGCTCCCTTCGAAACAAAGAAGGGAAAGATTACAATGAACATCATTCAGGAGTATGCATTCACTAAAGATAACAGAAAATACCATAAAGACCATTTTCATAGGAGAGTGAAGTTTATCTATGAGAAATGCCCTGTAAAAACTACCTCAGTATTTTGATAAAGCAGCTAAACGCCATTGTCAGGACGGCTAACACTGGCTACGGACGCGTATGATGAGATGAAGTAGATTGAAAGAAAACTTCTCGAATGGAGGGGGAGAGAGATTAGTAAACAGTAGTAAATAACAACAAACCAAGAAGAAAGAACCAAGACTTCGGGCGAATACACAAAAACAAATAAATAAGTGAAGAAAAGTTTTACAGTTAACATTCGGAACCAAGGAAGAAAGACCTTGTAACTACAACGGAACAAACTACACGAAAAGGAAATATGAGAAAGGACTACATGGTACACCAAAGAGGCATGTAGAGAAATCTAATCAACGGACCAAATTAACAAAGGAAGAAAAACCAAATATCATCTACAAAATAAACAACTGCTTAGAGTGTGAAAAACACTACATAGGACAAAATGGATGGCCTCTTCAGGCTTCGTTTACGTGAACACCGATTAGCAGTCAAACGCCACGACAATTCTTCGCTTATATCAATTCACACCAACAATAATGGACATACTACATTCGATTGGAACAATGTAAAATACTGGATAGGGGGAGGAAAAAGAACATTAGAGAATTTCTAAAAGCTTGGCACTCAGGTCAATCAGCAATCAATAAACACATCGACATTGACCCAATTTATCAACCAATCAGGAAAATCATAGGCAAACATAGGATCAAGGAACAGATCAAAAGGGAGATACAATCAAAACAAATGGGCAAACAACAACCAATCAAGATCGAGGTCAACAGAACAAGCTACAGGTCAAACGTGGAGACATTCGAATGCTTCACTTCTTCTATCTGAAGTTTGTGCTGATGATGGTGTTGTTCAGAAGAAGAACAATGAAAGCTTCACGACTAAAACACATCCAGGTCAGAGAACGAAACACCACCACAATTACACAGACATAACTTACTTTGATGAAATTAGTTAATTGAATTTCTGAAGAGCGACAAAATCTTTGTCGAATCTTGCGTAACTGATCTGTATCAAAATAAACTGGATTAATCCATTGATAGACTAGTTCTTCCTGAAATCAATCAATCAAATATATACATTGATATATATAACAAAATATTAATCAATAAATTTTCATTAAGAAATAAAAAAACATCCGACAATTTTAATTTGAAAAGTTAATTTATTTTGTTGTTATATTTTATTCATGTAGAATGAACTAATTTTCTTGAAATGAACAAGAAGGATGATGGTGTTGATATTTCGGAAAAGCACTGACCGACTTTGCGACAGACGACTTAATTTCGCCTGCTCAACACATATTTTGACCTTGTCAATCAGGCGTGCATGACCTTGACTGTTTTTTTTCGTTGAGCGTATGTGTCTGTGTATCGCTCAACTCTATGATCATCATCGTCATCATATGTCTAGTGCATATTTTTCTATCTGGGAAATAAACCAATAGTTTTAGTCAGGCCTGATTAAATGGAGGCGTTTTGGTATACCACTTCCCCAGTACCAATATCCTCAAACAGGGTTAACCGAGATGTTAAACAGAAAATTATGTTGAAGATTGATTCACATAGCATAGTTGATTGTTCGTCATCTGATAATAATAATAATAATCAGAGTTAGGCCACTAAATTATCACCACAATACGGATTAATATGATAAAAATCTATATTTAACGATGGGATAACATTTTAAATGATTTAAATTTCATTTAAACAAAGATACGCGGGATATTTTACTCGACAATATACATGTTAGTGTTTTAAACTAATATATTCATCGGTTGTATGTTTTATTAGTCTACTACTATTTAAATTTCAATAAGAATTTTAAAAAGATGCATACTTAGTAAAGAAATATCAGTTGACCTTGTGTGCTGTTACGAAATATGAGGGTGGAGGTTACTTCCCGGCTGCCCATACAGTCGAAGGGTGATTCTTGAGAAATTTGAAAAAGAAGTTGGATTAGCGTTGGTCTTAGTGACCTGGCAGCGTGATCGCAGAGTCCAAGGGACAAGTGCTTGAGGCCAGTCACGCACGGGATATTTAAGAGAAATTTTTAAAGTGTTAGCTTTGCTCTTGAAGAGGCCATACTGCCGGAGATGGAATTTCGTGAGGTAAGGTAAGGAGTGTCATTCTTACGGTCGACCTTTTTTAGACCCTCCTTTCCGTTGTGAGAAGGTAGCATCGATACAGATGCTGGTTTTCGGAGACAAACACCTTACTGATGTCATACCCCTCTGCAATTTGAGAGTAAAACATCGCTCTCACAACTTGAGTTGCTGCTTTTAGTCTCATCGTTCGCCATTCGGCCTAAAGGAACAGATGTTCCAACCAATATAGCTCCGTTGGGTCATCACAACAGGCAAGATCGATCACCACGTAAAGGTAGCACAGCTACTACGGTCGAGAAACAGTGTTAATATGTGAAACAATTTAGAAATAGCCAATAAACACTATGATGAAACTTTTCTGCTTCATGTTAGTTGAAAATGAAATTTTCCATTCAGATATTTATTTAAAAATCGATTGACAGTTGTCTGTAATAGGGTAAAAAGTTGAATAACAGTAGGATGATTTTATTGAGTAGAGCACGAATGATAGGAAATCTATTTAAGTAGTTATAACATTTTAAAACTAGTAAATCGAAGAAATTCTTTAAGATCTAAGTCAATAGAGGTTTGTATTTGATTACTGTACAGATGCAGGTGGTGGATAGGAAATATATATAGACAATGAGGAAAGCATCCAATTGTATCACAAGGCAAGCTCTCACACTTGGAGTTTTCAAGGCTAAAATGAAAGGAGGAAAACTCCAAAGAAGAAGCAGATATCAAAGGAATGAACAGTAATTGAGTAGAAGTGAAAAGAAAAGTCCAGAACAGAGTATGTTGGAGAATGCTGGTCGGAAGCCTATGCTCCATTAGGGGTAACAGGCGTAAGTAAGTACTTACTGTCTGCGGTTATATATAAGCCTATTCAGCGGATACATTGATAGCATTTTTTTCCCATTACTCATCTCGATATGTGATATGCTCGTCAACTGATATGCTTGAATGCTATTACAAGTTCACCTTAGTTGGTAAACGAGAGCGAAGACAAATGATCCAGTAATACGATAGGCTACTTTAATCTGAGAGTCCCAAAGCCCCACTGACTAGAGGAAGAAGTCTTGATATGGCGTAGAAAGTGTATTCTACAAGGACCCGAAAAAAATATGAGGTTGGAAAGCACACAAATCGAGTTTATTTATACATGATACAAACGTCCTTGGGAGAGCCACGAAAATAGTGTACTGAAATACATCAACCAATAACAGCCAAGGATTTTTCGGGGTGGGAAATGTAATCTCAAGGTCAACCGATCAGCCCATGCTCGAAAACATTAAATTAAAAATTAGTACCTCTATCAAGTGAGTTTTGGAGATCGAACGTCCCCAACACATGCCTACACAAAAAAATCATCGAGACGGTGAATCTTATATTATGAGCAGCGAAATACAGATTTTTACCAACAATGTGAAAAAAATCAATGAACCTATTCAATAATAACTATTTCATCACAGATGAAAATACACATCAAATTTATTGGTGAAATACAATTCAAACAAATATTCTGACAGTAATAACTTACTTCTATGTGTATAGGAGAAATTCTTTCAATAGACTGTCGTCTCATTACAGTATTATTATTATCTACAGTCCATAGACTTGGTCCATGAAACCATCCATGTAGGGAGATGCGTTTAGAAGAACCTAATACTTCTGCAACCTAAAATAATAATTAATATGACAGTTGAGAATTACAAATTATTCACATCAATCTTCTTACCATTTTGAGACTAAGTAGTTTTAAAAGGAAACATTGAAAATAACGAAAAGTTTTTTTTTTACCATAAACAAAGTGATCTCAAGTGTTGTTGAAGATTCCAGGGACAATTGTGATTTCACAGTTACCTACAGTCAGTCAACAACAAAAACATAGAACTTCGTACGTACATCAGTTCAAGTTGCCATAATACTACATTAGCACAGAGAGACACAACTGTCAATTCAAATCCCGTAGTAGTTAGAGGTAGTAAAGGTATTAGCAGTAGTCGGAGAGATTAGGATTCGACGATAGTATTCAAGAAGTAGAATCTAGTGAAATAAGTTTAAAAAGAAAAAGGTGATGGAGACTTCAGAAGTTTAGGATTTGAGAGAACACAAAGAATGAATGAAACTGAGCCATTGAAAACGGTTTTGAGCCATGTCATTCAAGGTCTCTGACCACTGATTACTATCATCTTGCGGGTCCCAATCACGTAGTTGACACCTACTGACATTACTCAGTCAAGTTGTCAGTGACTTCATGGATTTCTGCAATGTTTTGTTCTGGCCGCCCCTAGCTTTCTTTCAAGCTATTCCTACATCGCAAAACATAGCTCGATGAGGCAGTCGGTGGTTAGCCATACGTAACACATGTCCCAACCACCTCAACTGATGAAGTTTCAATACTCCATCTACTGACCTGTTATCCCTAGCTAGGATCGGTATCCTAACGACAGTATGGCTTACTCGATTGTCTTAGGATGCGCGAGCAATGCTTCGGAGACACCTATGATAGAAAACCAATAACCGACGAATATTTTCTACTCTGACTGGCTATGTTTCACAGCCATAAAGTAGGACGGAGTGAACTGTTGTACAGTACACTCGTCCTTTAGTTAGCAGACGGATATCTCGGTTACACCAATGAATATTGAAAAAGGGCGTAAATGAATGAGAGCAAGCTAATAACAAGATGTGAGTTGTTAACAATGCAATAAAATATAATGAGTTCACACTAATAACAACATGAGATTACATAGATGACTATTCTATAAACGGTAAGTGTAAAAAAAAACAGCTCACATCAATATTAGATCAAAACCAATCAAAAGAAAAGAGCTCAGATTACTAAAAAACCAGACATCGAAAGATGGAATAAAAAATGTCTACGGTACTTGAAATCTGCTTGATTGACCTTCAGCTAATTTGCCACTGCAATTTTGTGCCCATTTGTTATTCTCATGCATGTCATAGTCATGTTATCTCTTACACGGTCATTTTGAAAAGCCATTTGATAATGGTTTTAAAACAAATTTTTAATGAATTTCATATATTCAATAAAGTTTTAAATGTTGCGGATATTTTCTGAAGTTTTTGATTTTCTAATAATCTTCACCTTTTTCACATATGTTGTGTGGACAATTATCTGCCACGTACTTCGGTTTCATATAATAATAACAACGTTTTTCTGTACGTCTCGTTTATTAGGCAATATCCCTTTGACTCTTAAATAAGACCCACCTTTTTTATAATTTTACACAGACTACTGTAAACATTTAAGTAGTATAAAAATAAAACTATTGTATAAACTGTACAAATAAACAGTGTGGAAAATAGTTTTCTTTTGTTGTTAACGAATCATCTTTAATTGTATTTTTTATTTATGATTCTTACTAAAAATACCAAGTTGCAATTTGATAGAATTACTTTCTCAATCAGAGTTATGGAGATAAGTGTTTTTACACATTTGAAATCATCGATCAATCAATCATTGTTAGACCACCATTAGGGGAACCTGGAAGTACTGGACGGCTGTTTCATCCTGGTATGAGACTCATCAGCAGTGCGCATTGATTGATGATTTCAAATGGGTAAAAACACTGATCTCCATAACTCTAATTGAAAATATCGTAAAATGTGCTCAATAGTGACTAGCTTCGTGAGAAAATTCTCGGAGTTCTAGTGAGAGAAGACGTGACCAATGGAGTTCAACCCTGTCGGGTGTAGGCAGTAACTACCAAAGACAAATTCGTGAGGTCGCGTGAAATTCCTAGATCAATCAGGGTTAGACATTAATACCGTTGGATGGCAGCCCAGTGGTCCGATGGTTAGGCGTTCATGCACAATACCGAATGTCCCGGTTCGATTCCTGTGAGGTGCAGGAGTCGTTGATGTGCACTGCTGATGAGTAATCCCATACCAGGACGAAACGGCCTTCCAGTGCTTCCAGGTTTCTAATGGTAGTCTAACAATCAATGATTGATTGATGATTTCAAATGTGTAGAACTTCTTTCATCTGAACTAGACTGATAAAAGTCTACATCCGTTGACAATTCGACATACACAAACATCTCTAAAAAAACAGGATTTCCAACTAGGTGTTCGAAACATAACATGACTATGAAAAACATAAGAATAACAAATCATTACGAAATCCAGGAAATTACAGTATTTATTGTGGCGGCAAATGAGTGAGTTGAAGGTCAAGCAAACAGACTTCAAATTCTATAGAAATTTCATTCCAGCCTTCATTGCCTAACTTTTAATAATCTGAGCTTTATTTCTTTTGATGGTTTTGATCTAACACTGATGTGAGCTCGTTTTCCTCCGACCGTTTACAAAATAGTCATCTATGTAATCTCATACACTGATTAATGGATATCAAAAATATTAGCTGACTTTTTATAATCAATCAAGAGTTGTGGTGTGTGCTACTTTTACGAACGATATAAGTAGTATAAGAAGAGACGTGAAAGAAGAAGTCGCACGGTCAGAAGAGGAAAACGGAAAGAAAATGGAGCAAAAGCAAGAAGTAAATGGTGTACCAACAGGAAGGAAAGGAAGAAGGATGGAGCGTTGGAAGTCACGACTCAAAGATGGTGTGCAAATAGAGTGGTGTTCAATGTAATGTTTTCATTTTTAACTGACTCAGAGTGTAAATTTGCATAGTGCAATCTTCCTCGCCTGCCTCAGTCTTCTCACTTATAGTATCTCTAGTACTATGAGTTTTGAATCGACAATTCGATTTGTGTGTCCTAATGTGGTATAACAACTTGAACACTGATGTACGTACGAAGTTCTACATTGTAAATGACTGACTGATAGACTGTCAAAGTTTAATGATGTTTATAAGCATTATTATTCAACACATCGATTTCAACATGCTTTCTATAAACTATCAAGTTGGTCGAGTCAACTGTATACCTGAATGTAATATCATTATCGTGCAGAAAAGGCATACTATTAGTGAGACATAGATGAATTAAAGCATGACTGCGTTAGCTGCGCAGCTGATTGGCTAATTCCTATCCAATCAGAGGCCTGGTCGATACTTGGAGAGCGATTCTACAACATTCTTGTGTTGTTTGCTGCACGTTAATTGGCTAAATGTAATCCGATCAGAGCAAGTCGACCACGTGGAGTACATTCCAGAAGATTCTCATGTAAAAAGAACTAAAAATATAGGAACGTTATTCCTATTTCACCTTCACTTCGGCTTCATACCTCTCTATTTAACCTTGCTATTTGGAATATATAATCTCTTCCGTGTTCAACTGTGTTCTGATTTGGAGAACTTGTCGAGTGGTATTGTTGTCCAAGAATACTAAGCTCAATAGGAATAGCTGAGTTTATTCACAGAGAGAGAGAGAGAGAGAGAGAGAGATATTTATAACACATAGAGATTGTTCATTTGTGATATTAAGGAACTTACTGTCTATCTTCTAGTCTTAATTAGCATTACTTCAGTAAACCGATCGATAGTATACAGTAAATAAATCTTCATCATATCAAACATTTGAATTAGAGATGACTGAATGAATCATAAATAGCCTTATTATAAGGTTTTTTTTGTTAAAGTTACTTAGTAGAAAATATACTTAAAAATAATACAACACAATACCTGATGAAATGATCTTGGGGATACTTCAAAAAATATAAACATATTCCGTTTAGGAGGTATTGTTGTAGAGATGATAGTTGGCTGAAATTTTCCATTATTCTTATTCTTATTACTACAACTGTCACCATCATCATCATGATCGTTATCAATGACGTCTAGTTGACTTTCGAATAATTGTAGTTCACCTCCATCTGTTTGACTATTCCAATTATCAGGTACAAGATACCAAACAAATGCCAATCGACGACCTTCCAATTTATCATCATGACATAGAAGATAATCTATAAACAGTGAAAAATATTTTTTGAAAAAAAACACAAGGAATTATGTGGAATTTTTCTAAATGAATTTATGATTAATTTGTATGTGATCAGAGAATTTGAGTTGTCCCCACTAGACATCTAGAAACACATTTCAATACAGTCTGAATGTTTATAGTGTTATCAGTCAGTCAGTTGCAACGTAGAAAGAACTTCGTACGTATGTACATAAGTTCATGTTGCCATACCACACATTAGAACAGAGACGCAAATGTCAAATCAAATCCCATATTGATAAAGATAGTAGAGGTATTAATGGTAATGAAGAAGACTAGGGTTTGAAGATATTATTCAACAAGTATAATTCAGTGAGATAAGTTTAGAAAGACAAAAGTAGAGGTGCTGAAGAATCCAGAAGATTAGGATTTGAGAGAGCTCAAAGAATGGATGCACTTGCGCCATTGCAAACGATTTTGAGCCATGTCGTTCAAGGTCTCTAACCATTGGTGACTTTCGTCTCGCTGAATCCAACCAGGTAGTCGACAACTACCAACATGACTCAGTCCACTTGTCAGTGACTTCATGGATTTGTGCCATGTTTTGGTCTGGCCACCCCTAACTTTCTTCCAACCTACTCCTGCATCACAAAACATAGCTCGTCGAGGCAGTCGGTGGTTAGGCATTCGTAACACATGTCTCAACCACCTCAACTGATGAAGTTTCAACACTTCATCTATTGATCTGCTATCCCTACCTAGTACTCGTTTCCTAACGACAGTATTGCTTACTCGGTTGTCCCACGATATACGAGCAATGCTTCTAAGACATCTACGATGTTTATAGTGTTATTCGACTGTGTTATGCAGAGCCTCAATACATTCATTATGAGCAAGCCAAGTTGGCATAGATTAGTCACTTACTTACTTCCTTACGCTTGTTACTCCTATTGGAGCATAGGCCACATAGGAGCATTCTCCAACCTACTCTGTCCTTGGCCTTCATGGCCATTTCTACCCAATGGCTTTTCATTGATTGTACGTCTGCTACCGATTCTCAGCACTTTTTAATCGTCAATCTTCGTCTTTTTATTTTGTTTTGAGGATTCCAGGTTAGGGTTTTTCTTGTGGTCAGCTGGGTAATTTCTGCAGTATGCGTCCTATCCACCTCCAGAGCGTTTACCTCACTTGGAATCAGGTTTGTTCTATTACACCATGAAGGCCAAATCCTTTGTTGGGGGGTATTTCTCGAAGATTGACTGCAGACTCTAATCGAATTGATCCATATCGTTCTCATTGTTATCTTTGGTCGGTGCATAGTGCTGAATGATGTTCATTGTAATCCCCTTTGTTTGTTTTGAATGAGGCTTTGGTGATCTTTGATTCATGTGATTTCCATCCTATATGTGCATTTTGTGATTATTTTTGACAGCATCAGTGCAACTCCTTGTGTGTACGAGACGTTTTCTGTTTGATGACCACTGTACAACAACATCTCACCTGAAGCTAGTCTTTTTTGTCCAACCTGCGTTCAATATGTTACTGTTGGGGACGTTAGATCCCCAGAACTCGCTTGATAAATGCCTTATTTTGGATTTCACGTTTGCTAGCATGGGCTGATCAGTTGACTTTGAGATTTCACTTCCCACAAGGAAAATCCATGACTGTGATTGGCTGCTGTGTATTTTAGTGCGCTATTTACGTAACTGTCCCAAGAACGTTTCTATGATATATAAATAAACGAGAGTTGTGTGCTTGATTGCATTGTGATTGCTGGGTGTTTTTAGAATATACTTTCTACGCTTACCAAGACTTCTGTTTACAGCTTGGGATTCAAGGTAGCCTATCTGGACGCTGGTAATTGTCTCGTTCGCATTTATTGACTAAGGTGAACTCCTAATAGCTTCAAGAGTACCTGACTTCTAGTACCACCTGCTGGTATCGTTCTAGGTTCGCAGAAATTAGAATAGTTTTTCTGGTCGCCGTTATCATGCTAACATCCCATGTACTTACATGAATGGGGTTGCTCAAGTTGTCCAGAAGGTGTATATCGACCTCATGACTTCCGAAGAAACTCGGCTTTCATCATGAGGTGTCATAAAGCTTCTGAATGAAGATTTCTCAACTGGCAGGTCAGAGTTTAAATGGTTTGAATTATTTTTTATGGTTAGCGTATTTTTAGCGAGTTGGTTTTCTACATGATGGGGTAGAGAGCCCCATGTCCAACCTTCCTCCTTTATCCGAGCATGGAACCGACAGTAACCCCAAAAAAGCTCCAAGCACAGTTTACTCACAACGTGGCTTATAAGTAATATACAGTGGAGTCACGCGTAGAAGTTATTACTGAATTGAAAAGTATCGAATCCGGATTCGCGGCGTGATCAGAGAATTTTAAAAGCTCGAAGATAGCCAAAAAATCTGCTTGTTTCACAAATGAATTGCGAAGATAAACTGTATACAATAGGCTAGTAAACTATACCTTCTTCAACTAAATCATTTATTCCACCTGGTCTTAATATCTTACCTGTGTGTCGTCTTGGGAAAATCCTCTCATAAAACATCCTAGTTGCTTGGTGATGTTCGTTATTTTCATTGATTTAAGGTGTCACGTTTCATTTTTTTTAAAATGTGCTTTTCTGTAAATAATAAAGTTCAGTCAAAAAAGTGGTCATTTTCGCAAATAATGCATAGTTAATATCATAGAATGTAAACTAGATTCCTATTTCCGAATCTAGTAAAATATATGTATTAGTGAACTGCCTGGAGCTCTTCTGACGTTACTGCCGATCCCATGCTCTGCTGATAAAGGAGGAGGGTTGGATATGGGACTAGCTACTTCATCATATAGAAAACCAACTCGCTTAAAATACCCTAACCATAAAAAATAATTCAAACCATTTAAACTCTGACTTGGCAGTTGAGAAATCTTCATTCAGAAGCCTTATGACACCTCATGATGAAAACCAAGTTCCTCCAGAAGTCATGAAGCCGATATACACCTTCTGGACAACTTGAGCAACCCCATTCATGTAAGTACATGGAATGTTAGCACACTAAGGGAGACTGTGAACCTGGAAAGATACCACTCGGTGGTACTTGAAATCAGTGAAACACATTGGACAAAAAAGACTATCTTCAGGAGAGGATGCTATTGTAAACTGGCCATTAAACAGAAAATGCCTCACATACACAAGAAATCGCACTGGTGCTGTACCTTCTCTATAAAAAACATTCAATATTTATTGATTTTTTTATGCATTAAACAACCAAATCATCATCATCATCATCATCATCATACTACTACTACTACTTACCTCCATGTTTATAATATGAAGAAGTCAAGTCTAGTTTATTCTCATAAAGTGGAATACCTGTGATATCTTTTAACCATGGAAGAACACTATCTAGTAAAAATGTCCTGTATAATGAGAAAAACATTGTATAGAAGGACAGTTAATAAAACAACAAACTATATATATATATATAACTCCGCTTGTAGAACCTTCGGGGCTACTGCCGGTCGCAAGCCCGGATAAAGGAGAAGGGGTTGGACATGGTGTTGGCGACCCCATCTCAACTATAAACTAACTTGCCAAAAAAACACGTTAACCAGAAAAAATAAATCAAACCATTTTAACTCTGCCCTCAGAGTTGAAAGAAGACTTATGATGTCTTGTGATGAAAGCCGAGTTCCCTCCGAAGTCACGGGGTCGATGCCTATTCTGACAACCAAAGCAACCATCCTTTTAGGAAACTTGGAGAACTACGGAAGCCATCATCCAGAAGATACAAGTATTTATGAACAGTTGTCTATGCAAAATACTTTGGATTCGTTGGCCAGACACTATCAGCAACAACGTACTGTGGGAGAGAACAAACCAGATTCCAGTGGAGGAGGAAATCAGGAAGAAGCGGTGGAAGCACCTAACTGCGTCACAAGACAAGACAAGACATGGAACCTTCAATGTCAAAGGAAAAGAGGAAGGCCAAGGAACACATTACGCCGAGGAATAGAGAAAGACAAAAAACTGGAAAGAACTAGAAGGGGAAGCCCAGGAGAGAGATGGTTGGAGAAAACTGATGTGAGGCCTATGCTCCATTGGGGCTAACAGGCGTAAGTAAAAAATACATATACATATATATATATACTGAAAGAACTTTTCAAGAGTTGACTTTTCTACCAGGAGACTCACTTGTTGACTTAAAATATGCCGATGACATAGTTCTATTTGATGAAGACGCTGACAAAATGCACAGTCTATTGACCGCCTGAAGCAATAATGGAAGCGAAGCTCCCCCTCGAAACGCAAAGTGTTACTTTTAGCATTGGCTTGCATCGGTACCTGAACTAGTGATAGAAAGTGAAGTAGTTGAACCTGTTGATTAATTTACTTATCTTCAGAGTCTCATCAGTTCTGATAGCGTGGAATGTGACGAAATCTCGCGACGGATACAGGAATGTTTCACTGGCTTTTGCTAACCTGGATCACTTATGGCGTAGGAGAGATATCTGTCTACTAACTAAAAGAAAAGTCTATTGCGCAGCAGTTCGCTCCGTTCGACGATATGGGAGTGAAACATGACCAGTAAGAAGCGAGGATATCAGTAGGTTACTAGTATTCGATCACCGATATTGTATATCCTGGGACCACCGAGTGAGAAATGCTGTTGATACAAAACGGGTACTAGGTAAAGATCCCGACCGTAGCTGCTACCTTGACGTGGTGGTCGGGCTTGCCTATCGTGATGACCCAACCGAGCTATACTGGCTGGAACATATGTTCCTGCAGGTCCTACCATGCCAGGCTGGTCGATTGGAGAACGATGAGACTAAAAGCAGCTACCCAAGGTCTGAGGGCGAAGTCGTACTGCTGACTGCAGAGGGGTGTGACAGCAGTAAGGTGTTTCCCTCGGACAACCAGCATCTGCAGCGATGCTGCCTTCTCACAACGGAAGGAAGGGTTAGAAAAGGTCGACTCTAAAAATGTTACACCTCACCCTACCTCATGGATTTCCGTCTCCGGCAGTAAGGGTGCCCACTAAGGGCCTTTAAGAACGGAGCTAATCCTCTAAATACCTTTCATAAAAAGGCCGTGCGTGACCGGCCTCAAGCAGTTGTCCGTTGGGCTCTGCGGTCACGCACCAACACTAATCCATCCTCCTTCTCAGGTCCCTCAAGAAACAACCTTCCACGGTGTGGGCAGCCGGGAAGTGACAACCGCCCTCATACCCGTAACATCTGACTGACTGACTAGGTAAAGATCAAGGACCAATTGATGAAGTAGTGAATCATCATTAGTTGAAAATGGTTGGGACATGTGTTACGTATGCTCGACCACCGACTGTCTCGACAAGCGATGATGCCTAGTGTAGAGGTGGTCAAACCAAAAACACTGACAACAGGACTGGGCCATATCAGCTGGGTGAAGACTACCTGGTTGAGGTCTGATAGACACTGGTAACTGGTGGTGATCGATGGTTAGAGACTTTGAATGACATGGCTGAAAGTTGTTTGCAATAGAGCAGATGCATCGATTCTTTGTCTTCTCTCAAATTTCAATCTTCTGACTTCCTCATGACCAATTTTTCTCTCTTTTTAAAATTTGTTTCAATGGATTATACTTCCCGAATCATATCTTTAAACCCTTATCTTCTCTATAACCTCTAATACTTCCACTATATAACACTACCATGGATTTGAATTTACAATCCGATCTCTCTGTGCTTATGTGGTATGGCAACTTGCACTGACGTACGTACGTACGAAGTTCTACATGTTGTAGCTGATTGATTGATTAATTGACTGAAGGAACTTGTTAATATTAACCCTTTTGATGTGATCAGTAGATCTTGTTAGGATATTCATCCAATATCCTAAGAGAATTATTGGTCAATTCCTATTGGTTAATTCCTACTGGTCAATTTTATGGTCGTCCTAGATAGCAATGTTACGTGCTCCAATGTTGTTTCCCTTTGGTCGTCCTGACTGTCGATGTCACTTCAAACGTTGATTCCTATTGGTCATCCTAAGTGTCAATGTCACAGACTTCAATGTTGTTTCTTATTCGACCTAATTGTATAAATACGCATTGTCTGTAAAGTTTTATTACCCGGATCCGGACCTCGTATTTTCTGGATGCTTGTAGAGTCAGTCAGTCAGATGCAACGTAGAACTTTGTACATAAGTACATCAGTTGATGTTGCCATACAACATCAGCACAGGGAAGTAATCGTCAATTCAAATCCAATAGTAGAAGAGGTAGTAAGGGAATTAGAAGTAATCGGAGAGGTTACGATTAGAAGATATTATTCAAGAAGTATGGTTCAGTGAGAAAAGTTTAGACAGTCGAAACTAGAGGTGTTGAAGAATCCAGAAGATAAGGATTTGAGAGAACACAGAGAATAAATGCACCGGCGCCATTGCGAAAGATTTTGAGCTTGTAGAATACACATTCTACTTCCTATCAAGTTTTCTTTTACTCAATGGGGGGTTGGGACAATCGGATCAGAGTAGCATGTCGTGACGCCGGATCTTCGATCTCGTTTTCCAACTCAGGTAAACTCGTAATAGTTTAAGCATATCAAAATGACGTGTTTACGTACATGCGTTAACAGTCTGTAACATCTTTGAAACATAGAATGACTACTATCTGTATCATGTTTCTCCTAGCATTCATTGTATCAGTCATTAGGAATGAATTACTACTTGCTGGAGGGCGGGGGGAGGTGACATATTTAGTACTATTTTGTTGTGAGAACAAAAAATGACATTTGTAAACGTATGTGTACGTATGTGTAATGTAACGTAGTGTAATAATAGTTAAGAGTGGAAAAATATTACTTTTCGCCAATAACTACACATCATTCTGTTTTAAATATAAAACCAATGACAATGAAATGGTATTAAATAAGTTAATTTAATAATAATAGTAAACCTGGATTAGTATTGTGGTGCGCGCTACTTATAAGTAGTATATGACGCGAGTGTAAACGTAATGTCTGGCAGCAGAAGATGGGGGAAGATCAACAAGAAAGGAAGAAGAGTGGGAACACAATGGAATTTGTATGAAACGCATGAACAGTGAAATGTCAGACAATGGATTGAAGATTTGCAAATTAGCGGTGGTTACGATATGGTTTTCCTATTTTACTGAGTAACTCTGTAATTTGCGGTAAATACAATTCAGTTGCCCTCACCTGTGTTCTCCGTCACTACAGTATAACCTGATTATTAAGACTGAAATAACATTAGAATAAAGTTGAGAAGAAAAAAAACCCAGAGTGTAGGCAGAAATTCAAATTCACAGTCTGTCTGTTTATTATTAGAAATAACTCCGCCTGTAGACCCTTCAGGGCTACTACCGGTCCCAAGCCCAGATAAACGGGGAGGGTTGGACATGGGGTTGGCGACCACATCCCGGAAAAAAAGTAACTTGCCAAAAAACCGTTAACACGAAAAAATAATTCAAACCATATAAACTCTGCTCTGGGATTTAGAAGGTTTTCATTTAGAAGAGTTATGACATCTCATGATGAAAGCCGAGTTCCTACGGAATTCATGATTCCGATGCCCTTTCTGACAAACAGAATTCTTCCACCGTGTAGGCAGCCGGGAAGTAACATACACCCTCATATAAAACACGCTGTAACAGATTCTCTACTGATAAATGCATATCAAACGGACATAGTGTGTAAAGTCTCTTGAAGATTTATAAACACAAAGTCTCTCTAGGCACCTTAAAACTTCTTACTACCTATTAGTTTAGACTGATAAGAACTATACACAACAATTTCAAGAACCTAATGGTAACGCATAAAGTTCCTATTTACGAGCACAACTAACCAACCATTTGAATGAGATCATGGATAATAATCAATCTTTTAGTAGGTCAACCGAATTGAGAAACAATTCTGCATTCGTTTATACATATACATATATACATATCATTTAGATATTTAGGACATATTCCCATTTATAGAGTGTCTCATCCTTTTGAAAAGGAAGCCAAATCTTGGCCATTCGAGTGGGCTTGTCATTTGCTCAGTGTCTTACTGGATTACCGTATCAATGTTAGTCAGTCAGTCAGTCAACAGCAACGCAGAACTTTGTACGTACGTACATCAGTTCAAGTTGCCATACCACTTTAAATCCTATAGTAGTAGAGGTAGTATATTTATTAGCAGTGATCAGAGAGATTACTTAAGAAGTATGATCTAGTGAAATAAGCCTAAAAAGATAAAGATGAAGGTGATGAGGAATTCAGAAGGTTAAAATTTGAGAGAATATTGTATCAATGATAATGAAATCTACTAGTCACAGTATGCTAACAAGTTAAAAGTAAGTTGCATTTAATGAATATCGAAAATTAATTTCATTAATCTGGGACGCTAATAACAAGAAGCTTAATATCAAGTAACTAGTCTATCAAAATGGACAATAATTTTACCCGATATGTTTAAATATCATCTCTAATGTGGGACAGAATGATACTGAGAACAGTCTGATTTATTGACTGGCCTCAATAACATCAACAACACTTCTAACAACGTGAAAAATCTTTCTACGAAAACGAATTTCTAGTTGAAATAGTCATAGGTAGATAAAATCGGCGCTTATTTTATATACGATTTTTTTTACTAATTCACGTGTACATTTCAAAACAGACGCATTGAAACGACTCTTTCTTACAATAAGATTCTACTTTGTAAGGCGCAGTTCAGGTTCTCTGATGTAGAGAATTCTCAGTGATATGTATGACAACAAGTAAAAAAAATATTCAATGAACTTAAAATGTCTGATACACTTACCTTAAGCTGACAAGTAAAGGGAATGTGGAAGTATTAGCGGAATTCTTTTCATTTGAACATAAATTTACAACATCACAACTTTGATAGAATGAGAAAAGATCATTTCCTCTTCGCACAAAAGGTAGTTTTTCGGCTTCCTCTTCTACTAACTGAACCAACTGTTTTGTGTCCATAGTTTCTACAAGATTAAACTTTAAGAAACAATTGGCCAATATACCTTCATTGTTTTGCCTGAATTGCACGAAGTTTTCGAACTTAGCAAAAGTAAAGGGGACATGTTTCAGTAAACTTTCATCTGGAATAAATTTGTGAGAAAATATCGGTAACGTTAAAAGCGGGGAAAAACTGGTGAGTTAGTTTTTGCTAACGAAACATAGCAGCATATATACAACAACAACAACAACAGTAACCAAATTAATGACCCACAACCTTCAAATGAACAGATTTTAGAAAATAAGGAAACTGGTTGGTTGAACATATTCTTATGAGGTACAGTGTTGGAGAAAAGATTGAAAAGAAATCATTAAATGCAATTCTTTGCCAGTTATTTACCAGTTAGTGGACTTCAGTCATATTTCCTAGCTGACATTTAAAACAACGTAAAAAAAACACCCCCCAAATACTAAGTTTGTGAACGAAGTCACAGATATTATACAAAGTATAATTAGTAATTCGATTTGTAGACATTTATTTAAGAAGTATTCGAAGTTGTTTACTATAAAAGTGGAAATTTTTGAGTCAGTCGACATGGAATTTATATTAGATCTAGTCAATTGCTTTGAAACTAATCATACCTAACGATGAACGATTATGAATAAATTCGATTGGGCAGTTGAACGAGCCAGTTTAAATTTTAATACTGAGAGTGTAGTTGATCAAGCCCCTAACATTGTTAGAATTCAGAAAGTTATTTGAAGAATGAAACTCACAAAAACTTTACTTGTATGCAATTGTTTGTTATTCTTACCGATGATCTGAAGTAACCTGAGAGGCTTTTCATGCAGTGCACTAAAAATCACCATATTTTTAATTTATATTACAACCACATTTACACGCGTAGTTTGTAAGGATTAGTTGAAACAATAGTTTAAGTTCCATTGATACACAAAACTCTACATTAGCACTACATAGTTGTAGAAAGCAGAAGAAACAGATTCTTCAGATCGTGCTTTGTCATGTGTCAAACAGGATGTTTTATACTCAATCACAGAAGAAATAGAAACTGAATAATCATGAATTACATTACCAGATAGCAACTATTCAGCATGTGAAAACAATTATAACACAAAAAGAATTACCTGTGACTAGTTCTGTTGAGTGCTTTTCAGTGTAACAATTTCGAAACTCATTCTTAAAGGATTTGGACAGAAAGCCAGGATTTATCTGGAAAAGCATGTTAAACAGTAACGCTCCTGCTGTAATCAGCGGGAGATAGCGTGTACAATATCCAATACCTTTTTCGAGAGCTAGTAAAACCATTTGAGTTCTTTGCCCTCGATTCCTATTCTTTCGTTACGGTTCCAGGTTTTGGTGTTATCCAAGCAATGAGGGTCTGGCCACTAGGCTGTCTAATTCTAGGTAGTTGGCAGTTGTTTGCATGTCCCGTATCATGAATGACGGCGTTTGTTTCGGGGCATTAGGGTTTCTGGATACCAGCAGCTATCACATCACCAGACCTGGGATCAGTTAGTGGAGAATAATAAGGCGAAAACTCAAATACTAATGAGAAAAGGACTTTAGAACTAAGTAATATATAGATAATTTAGTTTATTAATTGGTAGTGAAGTTTGTGAGAGAGGACCGAAGTGTAAGCTTGAGAGAGGAAGCAGAGATAATAAGCGAGATACATTAAGTCAGCGACCTGCGGAGATGGCAATAATAACAACTGGCAGGCCTCAAGTCATGTATCGGGTACAGCTTTCCACGAGGGGAATGATAATCCGTATGTGAGAAAGTGATTATCAAGTCGCTTCTTCAATCTGTCTAATGAAGGGGCTGCTATCACCTCGATAGGGAGAGCATTCCAAGTTATGACGACTTTTAATGATAAAAATGACTGAACGAAACTAATTATTCTCATTTTGATGAGCGATTTTCCGGACGTTCCCTCGAAGGTAGTGTGGTGATGCTTCGGTAAGATGCTCAGTTTGGATTAGCTTAGAGTGCTTAATATGTTGTACGTGTAGAATCTATTTTGTAGGCTTTGTATTTTAGAAAATCCCTCCATGTATATATATTTGTGTTACTATATGACTGACTCTTTTTGTTGATATTTTTGTACTGTATGTAGAATCATTTTTGAATGTTTTGTTTTTTGAAAATCCCTCCATCTTTACATATTTTTGTTATGACATGACTGACTCTTTCTGTTGACATTTTGGTATTTTATTTGATTCCATTTCAAGATTTTATCATTGTATATTGTTATTATTTCTATATTTTGTACTGATATTGAAGTTTTTATGTTTGCTTCTGAACTGTACATATGTTGTTTAAACTTGATATATAATATGGCTACAGCCATATTTTTGGATTTGATATCGTCGCAGTATACTAGCTTCACCTAGTCCTTTGAACTCGGATACACATCAGAGTAATTTCGACTTGGAAGACGTAATAATTGTCAGGTAAACGTTTGTATTTCCATTTCTTTTATATAAATAGACCGCTTTCTCCTAGAATTATTGTGTTTTGATATTCGACTAAGGGAAGGTGCGTTCGACATACGTCTATTGGAATCGAATTGAACTGCTACGGTAGAAAATCCAACTACAGTCTGACAATTATTAAGAACGAGTCAGCAACAGTCTGACGTTTGTAAAGAACAAGCCTACTATAGTCTGATTATTAAGAAGAACAACGAAACATTTGGAATTTTAATCGTTTACAATATTAAACTTTTTGGAAGAAGAACTTTGGATTACTTATCTCTTTTTTGATCGAACTGTATTTTGGAAAACGATTTTCTGATTTTGGATTTTACTAACCAAGATTTACCGGTGGAATTTCTATATTTTGTATTTGTTATTTATCTTCCGTTGAACTTCAATTAACCATGAGCAGCCGCAAGAAAACAAACACGAAGAGGGTGAAAGAGCATGAAGAATCCCGAAATGCTAGGCAAGTCGTTAATGATTCTTCTTGTTTAATGGGTTCTTTTTCCACCCGTGATGATGTTACGTTTGATACTTATTATTGTAAGTCACCCTTAGGAGGCATTAAGGAACAAAATTTGGGTGAGAATTCTAAGGTACCAGAGAAGGATCAGATGCTTAGGACACCGATAGTAGGCTTAGTGTTACGTCCAGTTTTTTGCTCGTTGATCTTACGAAGCACGGTTGTCGACTATTTGTAATTCACGGTCCCAAATTTCTAAACCAAGAACGAAACTCCAAAGTAGATACCAAAGTTTATTCCAAATCACAAATTCGACCAAATTACTTTATTACAAATAGACGACCAATGTCGTTCTAACAACAATAATTATAATAATTACAATTACCTTCTAATTTATTAGCTCTTGGAGCAAAAAACCGCAACGAACAACAAAGAGAAACGGGAGTCCAAAATGTCCGCAAATAATAATTCAAACAAGTTCATAAGTTAAGTAAAACAAATATACCCAAAAAACAGTGAAATAAATGATAATATATATAAAGGTTTGATCAGCAAAATGTCTTCGTTTCTCCCGTAACACTTAGAATTACCTAAGGTTGAACTTTCAATCTTTGACGACAAACCCCGCGACTACTTTAGATTCGTTAAGCAGTTTGAATCGTTTATAGAACCTAGAGTAAAGGACGATAATTTGCGTTTATTATATTTAATTCACTACTGTAAAGGAAAAGCAAGAAATGCGATTGAAGGTTGCCTTATAATGGAACCACAAGTGGGATATAAGAGAGCTAGGGCTATTTTAAAACAGCTCTTTGGACAGTCGCATGCCATAGCCCGTGAAACCTTGGAGGACTTGTTTAGAACCGGGAATGCAGATTATAATGATCCTGAACAGTTGAAGAATTTGGCGATTAAAATGCAGAATGTTGCTCTAACCTTAGAACAGTTAAATTGTACAACAGAACTTAATTCCCTGGTTACTTTAGAACGAATAGTTAGGCTCTTACCTCATAGAATGCAAGCCTAGTGGGCAGAGCTGGGAATCAAGTGGGACGAAGAGGAAAGAGAACCTAATTTCAATGAATTGACGGATTTTATTATGTCTCGTGCTAAGATAGCTAGTAGTAAGTTCGGAAGATTAGCTAGTCGTGCTAAAACAGGACATGGTACGGACGCTATTAGTGATCTGCGTGCGAGACAAGAGGATTCTTCGTTTACACCTAACTCACACCCGGAAATTAAGAGAGTTTTCAATTGTATCAGAAAAGTATACCACGTTGAAAACCGAGTATGTGACCGCGATAATTTAAAACCCCTTGATGCGTATCCTAGTAATGAAAGCAATGTTGATCGAGTAGAGTTAGCCACTGTACATGAGTCGACTGGATGCCATGAGAAGTGTACTATTGCTTGTACAGATGCGGCTACTAATGATAATAGCATTGATGATACTCCTGCGAGTAATAGTGATCGATGGAAGTTGAAAGACACTCATCGTCGTCGAAATGATCGTACGCTACGCTCACATGCTGCTACTCAAGATAAGAAGCATAGGAAACAACATGATGCTACTATTATTAAGAAGCCTAAACTTCGTTCTCTTTCGGATGCTATGACTAGCAATGGAAATGGTAGTCATCGGAATCTTAGTAGTGACAGCGATAGTAAGGAGACAGAAAGTGTGAGCAGTCCACCTATAGTGACTAGTCGATCAACTTCATCGAACGAGCCTTCTAGTGTTTTGACGTCATCGGACCTTGTCGCGAATGTTAAGTTGATTGAGGATACACAAGGTTGTGTAACTGTAAGTGTTCCTACTTCGGTTGACTGTCAGTCAAGTGATGATGAGAAGGAAGCGTCTGATGGTAACAGCCAGTCTACAGTGTTGCATGATAACGATGCTATTGACGTGCATATGTCGTGTGTCTCTGAAACGGAACATGAAGAACAACAAGTGAGTTTATCGGTTTCGAATTGTGACACTAATGCTGTTCTTTCATGTAGAGAGATGAGTTATACAACAATGGAAGAGTTTCACTCTACGGATGCTAGTGCAGCCAGAAACGACGCGACCTGTCTGACACAACGGAATCATGATGACGATGATAATAATCTGGATGTCACTGATGTGACAAATGAGTTGCCGACGATGACGAATGCTGACCAAACCTCCTCTGTATCAGGAGATGGAGAGTTAGATATTGGTCCCATGTTATGCCACTTAAAGTCTTCGGGAGACGAGGAAATATCAAAATTGGAGATCCCACCCTTGCATATTATCTATGGGTCAAGAACTTCTGTTGATTAGTCAGCATCACGGACTTCATTGTATCTGCTGATCGGAGCAAGTGGTGGTGGATTGATGACTCGTCCCTATGATAGGGAATGTAGTTCCCGGATAGGATATGACCAGTTTTACGACGTGTTGTACATGTTCGTGTGGGTAATTGGATAAGGTTTATACTACCGTTAGGTCATGCTACGATAGACAGGGGAATCAAGGGCCTGATGGGAAGGTATAGGTACCTAGTTAGCTTGATAGGTCATATCCATGTTGGAGGGCGGGTAGGCGTACTGCTGTAAGTCCTACTTGTTCTTCCGGTGTGGATTAGGGGATGAGTGGGAACCCTAAATTGAAGTGTCATTAAATGCTTGCTTTTTTGCATGGAGGGATTTTGCGGGCCGGTGTAGAATCTTTTTTGAATGTTTTGTTTTTTGGAAAATCCCTCCATGTTTACATATTTTTGTTATGACATGACGGACTTTTTCTGTTGGCATTTTGGTATTTTATTTGATTCCAATTTGAGATTTTATCATTGTATATTGTTATTATTTCTATATTTTGTACTGATATTGAAGTTTTTATGTTTGCTTCTGAACTGTACATATGTTGTTTAAACTTGATATTTAATATGGATACAGCTAACCGTCTTGCTGTTGTTCACCAGTATACCAGTGTTGAGCAATGGAGTTATGTAAGCTCGTCACAGAATCCGGCCGATTGGACTTCGAGAGGCATACAAAAGATGAATGATCTAGAGACCTGTTTTAAATGTCCTACACTGCTGTACAGTGACTCAAGCACCACCACTTACTACCCAGAACCTACTATGGACCAAGTCGAGTTCAGAAAAGCTGCGGTCAACTTGAGTAGCACGACAAACACTCCGTCACCTATCTTGTCTTATTACTCGGAATGGATGAAATTGGTTAGGGCTGTAGCGTGGCTCAGAAGGTTCATAGACCTCTGGATAGTACTTCACTCGCCGAGAATTGAAGGCTCTGTCACGACAGGTTACTTAAAGGTCAAGGAGCTTGAGTC